GATGATTGGTCGTGCTTTTTACAGTACTACAGCTTCCACAGATGATATTTATTTATGGATTTGTTGTCAAAGCACTTCAGATATTCATTGCTATCGGGATGTTAAGAGCATTCCATGGAATATAACAAAGTGTTTCTGAAGTGAATTACCTACCCTACCTTTAAGGGTACAATTTAGAAAACAAATCTAAATAACAGGTTAGGGCTGTGCGATTATGGCAAAAATCATAATCACGATTATTTTGGTCAATAATTGATATCACGATTATTAAAAATGATTATCCATTTACTTTGAAAGCATCCATATATTGAAAAAAAAGATGTGAACAGTATGTTTTTAACAGTTGATTACCCTGAACTTTAAGTATAATTCAACTGAAAAACCAATAAAAAAGATTAAAAAATAACATTCTTTTTTTTTAATTTTTTTTATTATAAATAATCGTTTTATCTCGATTACATTGTTTTCGTAATCGTTGCAAGCCAAAATCATAATCGAGATTAAAATACGATTAATTGCACAGCCCTATAACAGGTAGAATTTAGTTATAAGAAAATGTGGGTGAAATTTTGAAAGAAAATAGGTTTAAATTTAGTAAAACAAAACATAATTAAGGGTTAAAAATAAATCAAATCCTGCTTTTATGATATGTCAATTTTCCAGCATCCTGCGTCTCGTTACGCATTACGCTGGATGTATGGTATAGGTATGTATAGCATATACAAGGTCTTAAAAAAGTGTTTGTATGCAACAAGTTGAACAGTTTAAAATGTTATTTTGCGATACGATAAAGGCTTCAATCTCTGTTACAGAACAAATGCTTCTAAAATATATAAACAACTATTGCAGCAGCACTTAGAAATAACTTCATTAATCTGCTTATTAGTTTGTATCTTGATGGTTTAATGCACTTATTGGATCAAGCATCAGCTAAATGTCATGTAACAGGGATGAGATGTATCGTGTTACTTCTGCTAACGACTGTGTACTGTCTGCAACATTATGACATCACTTCCTGTGTGTGTGTGTGTGTGTGTGTGTGTGTGTGTGTGTGTGTGTGTGTGTGTGTGTGTGTGTGGTGAGGCGTCAGGAGGACATTATAATGCATTTGAAATGTATGCCACGTGTTCTTCCTCCACCTTCCATCACCTTGTTGTGCGACATTGTGCGTCTGTCAGTGCATGTGTGTGTGTGGGTCAGAGTGACCGACACACATGCACACACACACACAGCGCTCAGAGTTAGCGTGCTGATGCACTCCGAGCTAACCTGATTAGCATTAGCGTCAGGTATTAGCGCTGCAGACGGCTAACGAGACTATTGACACAGATGACGTGTGTGTGTGTGTGTGTGTGTGTCTGTGTGTGTGTGTGTGTGTGTGTGTGTGTCTATGTGTGTGTCTGTGTGTGTGTCTGTGTGTGTGTGTGTGTGTGTGTGTGTCTGTGTGTGTGTGTGTCTGTGTGTGTGTCTGTCTGTGTGTGTCTGTCTGTGTGTGTCTGTCTGTGTGTGTGTCTGTGTCTGTGTGTGTCTGTGTGTGTGTCTGTCTGTGTGTGTGTCTGTGTGTGTGTGTGTCTCTGTGTGTGTGTGTGTGTGTGTGTGTGTGTGTCTACGTGTGTGTCTGTCTGTCTATGTGTGTGTCTGTGTGTGTGTGTGTGTCTGTGTCTCTGTGTGTGTGTGTGTGTGTGTGTGTGTGTGTGTGTGTGTGTGTGTGTGTGTGTGTGTGTGTGTGTGTGTGTGTGTGTGTGTCTGTGTGTGTGTGTCTGTGTCTGTGTCTGTGTGTCTGTGTGTGTGTGTCTGTGTCTGTGTGTCTGTGTGTGTGTGTGTCTGTGTGTGTGTCACTCTGACCCTCACACACTTACTGACGGACGCACAATGTCGCACAACAAGGTGAGGGAAGGTGGAGGAAGAACACGTGGCACACATTTCAAATCACATTATTTGTAAAGTTGAAAAGAAATGTAATTCAAACTATTGTCTCTGGAGAGGCAGTGATGAAGAGGACGGAAGAAATGTCCTCAAATAAATGTAAGAAAAATAAATACAATTAAAAAGTAGAAAACGTGGGTGAAATCTTTTTATCTTATATCTCAAAACAATATTAATAATATTGCAATGTCAGTGTTTATCCAGCATCGTGCGTGTCTTTGCATGTAATATGTATTTATAGGATATAAAAAGGTGTTGAAAGTGTTCGACAAGTTGAACAGTTTAAAATGTTTTTGTGTGATATGATAAAGGGTTCAATCTCTGCTACAGACTACATGATTCTATAACTTCATCTAACGCACCAGCACGTATTCATATGTCTGCGTTCCTCTGGTTAGTAGTTAGTAGTTTGATGGTTTCTTGCACTTGTTGTGGATAAAAACACGAGCTGAATGTAATGTAACATAATGTACAGATGTGAGCACTTGTTCAGTTCGAGAATTGAGGATACGGGGAAAGACAACAAGAGTTTCAGCCTCAGCTTTTCTCAGCAGCTTCTCTTTGGAGTCGCCTC